TATATAGAACATGTAAAAATCATCCAATTAATTTGACATTGTGACTTTTGGATTCTATATTATAGAGACCAAACAAGTCATTATGATGGTGACAGAATTATTGGTGTCTAGGGTTTTGATCAACTTTCAAAACTGAGAAGTTGACCAAAAAGCTGCTATGCGTGTTAAATTTAATTAAATTTGGCCTGAAGTTGTCTATATATGTACCAAACTCTAATTTTATATGTGAACATACCGCAACCTACTTATTAATACTAAAGTCCTCCCTAATCCAGTCTTTCCACAGTTTTAGTCACTGCTGCCCCAAAATATTACACTTAAAATTCTAAGAATAAGCAATTTGTAAGTTTTAAGTAATTTTAATTCTTCATATTGTTTTAATTGTTCTATTTTACTGATATAGTTGATTAATATTAATTATCTATTTGATTGAATTGAGAGGTGCTTAGAAAGAGTTGTAAAGCACAACTCTGGAATTGTCTGTGAGATTATTTTCATAGACAATTATATCATGGAAGTTCTGACCTAATTAATGGCTTCAAGGATTCAAAATTTGAATACAATGTTTAATTGGGAAGTCAAGTATTTGTATAAAAGAGTGCCTAGTTGGAGGAAGTTGGTCACTGAGGTTGTTACTTTAAAGGGTAGATCTTTACCCCAGTTTGGTTTCTGTCTTTCTCTCCTTCTTGGCCATTATGAAGTGCATGGCCCTTGCTGTATGCTCCCATTTCTGTAATACTATGCTTTGTTTTAAGCCCAAAACATTGGATACAGCCAATGATATATTGAAACCTTTGAAACTATGGGTCAAAAATAAATCTTTTTTTTTCTTTTTTAAAATTTTTTAATTTAATTTAATTATTTTTTATTGGATGTTTTATTTACATTTCATATGTTATCCCCTTACCCCATTCCCCCCACACACACCCAGGAACCCCCATCCCATCACCCCTCCTCCTTCTTCTCTGCGGATGTGCCCCTATGTACCCCCCATTCCCACCTCCCCACCCTCAAATTCCCACCCACTGGGGTGTCCAGCCTTCATGAGACCAAGGATCTCTTCTCCTAACTATGCCCAACAGGGTCATCCTCCCTTACATATACCGATGGGGGTCTTGGAATGCATCTTTTAGAGATAAAGGGAAACAACTGTAGTAATTTCACTCTTGTCATACCAGCTGAGGTTCAGCCAGCTGCAGGTTGCAAACTTCTCAGAAAATGCCTAAACAACATGAACCTCGAGTTGTAACCAAACATGCTAATTTTGTACATCATTTTCATGTTTTATTTATAAATACTGATTGCCCATGTAGTGGGGGGTAGAGCTCTCTGAATCTTTCCTGATACTCAGGGCTACAGGTTCACGAATTGTTCTTTTTTTTTTTTTTTTCTTTTTCTTTTCGAGACAGGGTTTCTCTGTGTAGTCCTGGCTGTCCTGGAACTCACTCTGTAGACCAGGCTGGCCTTGAACTCAGAAATCCACCTGCCTCTGCCTCCCAAGTGCTAGGATTAAAGGCGTGCACCACCACGGCCCGGCTCACGAATTGTTCTTTAATCAAATAAACTGTTCTAAATTTATCTAATCCTTTTATTTTAATAATTTTAAAGACCTTTATGACTAATACAAATTCAAATCAGAATATAAAGCTTAAACTTTTCAAGAACTTTTAAGGTTTGAGTAGAATTAAAAAGACAAATGAAATTTCAATATGATGCCAATAAAACTAAGTTGTCAAGACAGAAATAATACTAGTCACAGACAGTGATTTCCATACAACATTCAGTATAGTAGTCCAAGAGATGGTGGTAATTTGGCCCAGATCAGGAGTTGGTGAATTATAACCCATAGGCCAAATCTTACCTCTTGCTTCTGTAAATAAACTTTTATTAGAACACCTCCACACAATTCACTTAAGCATTTTTGTGATCTATAGCTATTTCTGATTTATAAAAGTAGAATTTAGTTGCAGGCTAAATTGTATATGTCTAAAAACCAGAAAATATTTACTATATGACTCTTTACAGAAAAATAACTTCCACCCCTGGCCTAGACTATAAGCAGTAAAGAAGAGAATAAATGAATACATGCATTATATTTTGAAAGTTGAACACAAACAAGCTTAGTAAATTCTAGGAACAGAAGAAAAAATGTAACTGTGAGGCTTTTTTCTATTTAATATCCTAACATTTTTGTTCCTAACTTGTTTCTCTGCATTTGTCATTTTTTAGACAGGTTTTTATTATATAGAAGTGACTAGCCAAACTCATGATGTTCGTGACTAGGCCTTCTTAGTGCTGAGATTACAGGTATGTGAAATCATGCCTAGCTGTTCCTAGGTTTTAATCCATTCATCTACTCACTCATTCCTAAAAGACACTCAGTGTCATACACTATATGAGTTTTAATCACACACACACACGCACACACACACACCAAGGAAGCCAACAAAGGAAATTATCTCAATGCTTACTTTCTTTTTTTCTTTTCTTTTCTCTTTTCTTTCTTTTTTGAGACAGGGTCCCTCTATGTAGCCCTGGTTGTTCTAGAACTTGATGTGTAGACCAGGTTGGTTTTGAACTCACAAAGATTCTCCCGCCTCTACCTTCCAAGTGCTGGGATTAATGGCATACATCACCACACCTAGCTTCAATGTTTAATTTCTTTCTTTCTTTCTTTCTTTCTTTCTTTCTTTCTTCTTCTTTTTTTTTTTTTTTTTTTTGGTTTTTCAAGACAGGGTTTCTCTGTGTAGCCCTGGCTGTCCTGGAACTCACTCTGAAGACCAGGCTGGCCTTGAACTCAGAAATCCGCCTGCCTCTGCCTCCCAAGTGCTGGGATTAAAGGCGTGCGCCACCGCCCGGCTCAATGTTTAAGTTCTAACAGTAAGTACTGAGTAAAACTAAGGGATAAATAGTACAAAGAAGAGGAAATAAACTTTTCTTCTATCACTCATTTATTATTGATCAAGTTGTACCTGGATTCTGTCTATCTTGGTTCATACTTCCTCTCTTTCAGTTACTAAAATGCTGTATCTTTAATAGCTAATACTGACACTGCATGGCAAGCGTGTCTTTACATGCATGGTCTCTTTTAATCATTATAGTCTTGTGAGATAGATGCTATTATTACACCCATGTATGAAATAGGAAATTGAAGCTCAGAGAAACAAAGCCTTTTGACAAAAATTGTAGGTGTGCTCCACAAAATAGCATTCAAGGCATCTACTTTTCCTCCCTTCTTCACTCTGTGCCTGGGCCCCATCACATACCAAAGGCACCCACCATCACCATTGCTAAGGCATAGGTTTACAATAGTAATATTTGACTCCAGTGCACTATTTTCTTGAAGCTCTCAGTGTGGCTTATTGCATAAATGGATATTAAGTATCTAGAGCCAACGAACATATTTTGTTGAAATAACACTTTTTAGGTTTTTATGTTGTTTTTATTGTAAATCCCATTGTATATTATTTACTTAGGTTTTAATCTCAGCTTGGAAACCTAATTTTTTTATGATCTTGTTGATATTGTTTAACCTATCTGTGCCTTGGTTGCCTTACCTCTAAAGTGCAAATAATATAATCTGTCTTAAATGTTTATTATAAAACAGGTCAATATTTGGCAGATACTGTAAGTTTCATTAATGTTCTTTTCTACTATAATGGAGAAGTTCTCTGAATTAAATAAACTTTATCAACTTCTTGCCTTTTCTTGAGGACTTTTTATTTATCAATTTCATCTTACTGATCTGATTTACTATTGTCATGCTCCTTCATATTACTAGACACTAGATTATGCTTTCCTTCTCTCTGGAATGTTCTTTTTCTTATTTGTCTGGTCACCATTGATTTTTATTCTTTGACCAGAAAATTATAAGGTATGAACTATGTCCTGGTTTTAATCATCAGTTTATATCCAGAAATCACTGCAAAGTTTGACATATAGTAGAGTCCATATTTGTTGCATGAATGAATACCAGCTAGATTAAATCTAGATTTTTCATCTTATTTAGTTATTCTTCTTAGCATTAATTCACATTTTGGGTATAATGTTTAGTGTGTATATTCAGTGATCTTAGGCAGTTATTAGCAAATATTCATTAAAAATACATCGTATGCTTGGGAATCAGATTTGTAAAATAAATACTTTCTGCTTTCAAAAGTCTGCTTGTTCACTGCACAGAAAAAAATGTGCAGAAGGAGATATCAGAATCCAGAATAAGTGGTATATAAGGCATATGGAATCAATGGAAAAAGAATATAAATTTATATAGAAATGACTGAGGAATCACAGAGGAATACCAAAATTGAGTTTTAAAAGAAGACTAATTTTTCCAAATGAACAACTGTAGATAGAAAGAATTTCAGGATAAAAATGATAAAGGAATATTAAAAAGCCTCTGTTATAATGAAAACGTTTTCTTCTTTTGTAATGTTGAATCAAAAAACGTGTTTTCTTTTGTACCTTTATGACAGATTATTTCATGCTTGATTTTTATAGTATGCATTATTATTAAATTTCATTCGTATAAAGTGTTCATTTCTTGTGGTTTATTCTCCTTTTAAAGCTTACTATATTAGCACTGTAGTTGAACCTTTGATTCAAAATGCTCATCTGAATCTATGGAAATCCAGTAGTGAGAGATATGGGACATGTGGAAGGACAGTGTAAAAAGTTTACATCTTATAAAACATTGATAAGCTACCATTAATAAAATCATAGACAAGAGATTATAGAAGAACACAGAAAAAGGCAGGCAACCCGAGTTTTACATACACTGTAACATCCTGGACCCGTCTTTCTCTTGTTATACCTCCAAATTTGTTCAGTGAAGACTACTGACTATAGTACTTGGCTGATCTTTCTGGATCCTAGTCTTTAAACACGCCCTGTGAGGATTCCACTCTGCAAAGCCGGAAGGAGCAGGGCGGGGCTTTAAGGTTCTCTGCTGGGCTAGAGCAGGCTGGGGGAGGGGAGCGGGAGTCAGACTGCCGTTGGGGGCTGGGTAGTAAAACACCAAAGGACTGACAAGGCTGCAGTACAGCCCCTCTTTGCTTGCATTTGGCCTCCACAAACATCTGAGTCGCGACTTCCAGCGCAGGTAGGTGCAGCCACTCGGGTCTGGGAAGGCCAGGTGTCTTAGGTGGCCAGTACCCACCGCACCTAGCCATGTGCTTTGGGGCCTGGCACAAGGACGGGGCAGTGGGCAGCTCCAATCCTCAACCCAGGGTGATAGTACTCATTTTACACTGGCTGAGGAGGACACTCCTGCATTGCCCCTAGGCCTTCCTCACGGTTTGTGCTAGTTTTGCTGTATAGCCTTCCTGGATATCAGGATAGGGCCAGTTGGGCCTAACACTGAAAAGAGCTGGAGCAAGCTGTGCTTGAGACTGACTCCTAGGCTGCATTCTTTCTATCTCATTTTCACTAATGTTCTCGGATCAGATTATACCCCGCGTCTGCCCCTCTCAGAGCAAAGCTGTCAATGTAGTTGTAGGAGGAAAGTTAGGCTAGAAACGTTATGAAAACAATTCTGAAGAACCTTTTAAAACTATTGGAAATGGCATTCTTGTGCATGAATTGAATGTTAACTATGAATAATGCTCATGAGAATACTATTTTAGTAAAGAATTTTAAACAAAAATTATTGTCCAAAATGTTATTTATGTATTGAAGGAACATAATACACCACCAGCAAGTTTCATAAAACAAAATAGTTGAAGATTTTACTGTTTAATTTCTGAGCAAAACCACTGAAGTCTCCTACTTAGGAACATTGTAACAATCCATTTTCATACAATGGTCTTATTTTATTGTTGCTTTTATTTTATAGTTTGCTTGTCAGGATACAGTGTAGTTAAAGTTTAAAAGTAGTTAATTTTACATTAGGTAAGTGACTACAGAGGTGCAAGAGAAATATAAGCACTATGGACCAAGTCTTTCTTTATTATAGAACAACCATGAAAAGAAAACATGATTTACCACAATATTAAAAGAAGTCATACATTGTTTCATAAGCAGTGTGATGAACAGAATGTTCATTGTAGTGGTAGAATCTGGGAACTTCTACCATGTGTTTATTTCTCCTAGTTTTTTCTTGAAAATACAGACTGTGGCAGATAGCTCACTTGCTTTTCTTAGTGTCTGTCTCAGGAGTCTCACAGTACTACTCTGCCCCTGCTTGTCAACTCTGAGAATGGCAGCAAAATATTAATTCAGTATCTATGCTGTTTCTGGCAGCTGTTATCCTCCTTTCAGATCTAGGGATCGAGGAGTAAACTGGATCAGTAAACCTCTTTGTTCTTAGGATTCTTTATCTGGTGACAAGAGATCCACCAGTTGAGTCCCACTGTGACCTTTAATACAATACCAAGCACTCCTTATTCTTATCTGAGGTGAACAGAAACTTTGTATTGTCCCATGTAAAGACTAACAGCAATGCAAGAATCTTTGGAAAACCCAGCCTGTGCCACACCCGTGTGTTCTAGGCAAGGAGTAGCTGGTTTTGAAGGAAATGTTCTGTGTAAGAAAAGGAATTGATGGCTTCTGAAATGGCCTCAGGGGGATTGTGCTGAACAATCTAAGTTGTCTTTATTCCAATTCCTAATGCAATCTTTCTGCTCAGATTTAACTGTATCATTTAGTAAGTAAAATATTGTAGTTGTTGGTCAGCAGAATTTCAAAAGTGGCTGTTTCTTTCTTTGTAGTATCCATAATGATATCAATATTGGCTCACCTGTGATTACATGTTCTTATTGACATTTCCAGATGTTTCAATTTAGGCATTTCTATTTATTCTGTAACCAACGATTGTTGGATTTTTTTTTTAGTCAGTTTTGTTTTATTAGAAGAGTTCAGTTATACACAAATGGCTTTCATTATGTTTCATATCATTCCATAACATACAACATGTTTTTATTCTATCCATTCCCTGTTGTCCTCTTTTCTTTTCTCTTCCCCCTCTCCCTGATCCCTTTCTACTTTCCTAATAGTCCTCTGGCTACTTTTACGTCTTTTTCTTTTCTGATGCTAGAGATTTAATCTAGAACCTTGTATATGCTATACGAACATTAAACTACATCTTTAGTCTTCCATCTTTTTCCCACTAGATATCACATATGAGAGAAATATGTGATATATTGTTTTTCTCAATATTGTTTATTTCACTAAATATGATGATCTTTAATTCTGATCATTTTCCTGAAAATGCCAGGATTTTTATTTTGTGGTTAAATATTACTAAATTGAATGTACATGCTATATTTTTCATTTATTTATGTTGGCATCTAGATTTATTCCATAACTGGGATGTTGTGAAGTAGTACATCAATAATAAGAATGTGTAAGTATCTCTTTTAAATATTGACTTTGATTCCCATGGTATATATCCTTGAGTGATATAACTGTCTTTTTTTTATTGGTTATTTTATTTATTTACATTTGAAATGTCCCCCTTCCCAGTTTCCCCTCTACAAACCCCCTATCCTATCTCCCCTCTCTCTATGAGGGTTCTCCCCACCCATCCACCCATTCCCACTTCACTGCTCTAGCATTACCCTATGCTGGGACATCAAGCCTCTTCAGGACCAAGGGCCTCCCCTCCCATTGATGAAAAATAAGGACATCCTCTGCTACACATCAGCTGGAGCCATGGGTTCCTCCATGTGTACTCTCTGGTTGGCGGTTGATATAACTTTATGTCTTATATGGTTAGTTCTACTTTTAGGTTTTTTACAAAATGTATTTTAATTGAAATAGAATTACATGATTTTCCCCCTTGCCTTTCCTCCCTCCAACCCCTCCCATGACACCCTCTCTCAAAGTGATAGCTTCTTTTTCTCTGACTATTATTGTCACATACATACTGGATATGTATGTATGCCAGTCTGCATACTGGGAGCTGTCAGCAGGGATCTGCAGGGCCTGGCCAGAGTGGCCAACGAGTTACAGCTCTTCGAAGGGAGGCCAGAGTAGGGTATTCCACTGGACCCCTTCCACTGCCAGAGTTGGTGGCAGGCGGCAAGATACAATGGACAGATAGGGGCCGGAGTTGAAGCCACCCAGCAGGAAGTGGCTGAGGTCTAGTGCACACCTGGCTTGTTGGGTGGGATCAAGGTCCAATGCTGAAAGCTTCAGGAGAGAAAACTCTTCCCTTTGGTAAAATAACTCATGTACTTTATTCCTTGTGGATAGACCTTATAAACATTTGAGGTTGGGGTGGGATCTAGAGGCAGATGCTTTCTATTGGCTGAGTCTGAGATGTTAGAAATGCCTCATCTGCATGTGGAAGGACTTCAGGTGATTGTCACAGTCCTCTCAATGGAATGTCCTGGGAGTGTCATGGTCACATGTTCCAGGACTGGAACCTGGTTGGGAGTAGATTTAAATGCTTACCATTCTCAATTATGAGAATTGCCAGGGTTCCTGAATCTGCTCTATCTTACCAGTTTCCTGTGTAGTGGCGTGGTCTACTGCCCCACTTATGTATGCATATGCACACACACACACACACATAACATAATCCAACCTGCTGAGTCTATTTCTGTTTTTTATGTGTTTATGTTTTCAAGACTGACCACTCTGCATTAGACAGCCAATAAAGGGGTTATTTTAGTTAGAGTTTTACTGCTGTGAATAGACACCATGACCAAGGTATGTTGTCCTCTTATAAGGACAATATTTAATTGGGGCTGGCTTATAGGTTCAGAGGTTAAGTCCATTATCATCAGGAGCATGCCAGCCTCCAGGCAGGCATGATATAGGCAGAGCTGAGTGTTAGGCTGCTAGTGGAAGACTGACTTCCAGCCAGCTAGAATGAGGGTCATAAAGCCCGTGCCCACAGTGACGCACCTATTCCAACAAGGCCACACCTCCAAATAGTACCACTTCCTGGGCCAAGTATATTCAAACCATGACAGGGGCTGTCTAGTAGAGGCTAATTTTTCTCCTAGCAGTCATTAGTTGCCTGTAGTTCTTATTCTCAGAGTAGGACCCCATGAAAATTCCCCACTTCGACATTAATATGTCTGTTGATATTGCCATTGTTTCAGTCATTTTATAGCCATTTCTAGGAGAGAGTTTCTGGTATTCTTGCTCTTATAATCTTTCTCCTCTCCTCTAATCCCTATCCCTTCTCCCCTGCCCCTTCTCCACTTCCTGCTCCCTCTCTCCCCTCTTCCTTTTCTCCCTTTCTCCGTTTCCCTTTTTTTCCCTTTTCCATTTCTCATTTCTCCTTTTCTCCCTTTCCCTTTCTCTTGAGACAGGGTCTCTATGTAGCCCTGGCTGTCATGGAATTCTCTATATATATTTGCCTTGAATTCACAGAGGTTCACCTGCCTTTGCCTCCAAAATGCTGAGATTAAAAGTGTGTGCCACCATTCTGAGCACTGTTTGTTTTCTAATAACAGCCATTCTGACAGTAGTAAGATAGAATATCAATGTACTTTGAATTTACATTTCCCTGATGGCTAAACATGTTCATTTTTTTACTATAACTATTATTCATTGTTTAAAAACTGCTCAGCTTATTTGTCCATTTATTATTTGAATTATTAATCTATTTGGTAGTTTTTTCTTAGTTCTTTCTATATTCTGGATTTAATCTATGAATCTTTGTCCTGTGTTATAAGCTGTGTCTTTATTCTGTTCATTTTTTTTCTGCTGCACTGAAGCTCTCTAATTTCATGTAATATCACTTGTCTAATCTTTTTGTTATTTTCTGGGCTTTCAGAGTCCTATTTAAGAAAGTTATTGTGAATAATGTTAAGTTTTCCACTAGCAGTTTCAGAGGTTTGCATCTTATGTTAAGGTTTTTGGTCTGATTTGAGTTGATTTTGTACAAGGTAAGAGCTAGAGAAATAGTTTTATTCTTCTATATGTATAGGCCCAATTTTTCTAGCAAAACTGGAACAGTTGAACAGGCTCTTTCTCTTTTTTAAAAAAATACATTTTTCGCATCTTTATCAAGAAACAGCTGACTATAGATATGTAAATTTATTTCTTGTTCCTTCTATTCCATTGGTTTGCCTATCTGTTTTAATACAAATACAGCTACTTTTGATACTGTAGCTTTTAGTGTATTTTGAAATTAAATATTATGAT